GCAAAAAATCAGGATACCCTCCAACTTCTCTGCAGCAGAGTGCAAATCCTGCTTTGAGCGCTGGAGTCGCTTTGGGAGGCTAAACGCCTCCAGAGCCTAGAGATGAAGTTTGGGGGCCCACGGGCAGGAGCACTCCGGCTCAGCCTCCTTCCTTTGATACCAGCCAGCCTGCGGCCCTCAGAGAGAGCAGGAGCCGGCTCCTCCTGCAGCCTTCCAGCCATTGGTGTTTCCAGATACACTTCCTCCGAGCAAGGAGGCTCCACGGAGGCAGCGGCGCCATTCAAAGTCCCTTGTGCTGCATGACCCTCTCCGGCCGCTGCCACGCCGTCTCCCTCTGCCCCTCTTGCCAAGCCAGAGCAGCAGGTGACCCTCCGCCTTGCAGCTGCAGCCGTTCAACCCCCTCCGCCCAACGACGCCCTTTGCCCTGTTCCACCTCAGGAGGGGGCAGGCCAGCGAGGATCCCGGCCAGGGGCTGGAGGCGGCAGCAGCGCACGCAGCCGCAGGAGGGGAGAGAAAGCCCAACGCTCTGCGCACACAAGGCCCAGGTAGGCGATGAACGGGCAGGCCTGGCACCAGCCACGCAATTCCTCCGTACCATCAGCTCGGGACGCCTGCCTTTGTGCTCGCAACCGCGGATCCTGGCCCTTCTGACGCCCCCGGAAGTAGGCGGGGGAGGGCTGTGCAGGACCCTCTCCGCTCCTGATCCGCCTGGCAGCCCTGGGGGGTTGCAAAAGCTGGGCAGTGGGGCAGGGGGAGCCTGGCATCAGCCCTCATCGAGGGTGCCTTCCATGGCTGCACGTCACAGTGACTCGGCAAGATGGATTTCCCAACAGCACCGTTCAATACCACCCTGTATTTTTCAAAGCGCCGCCTTCTTCCCTCCTGTTCGCAGCTCTTTGGGAAGAGGATTTCCCAGCTGATGGCGCTACGCTGCCTCTCCGCTTCGCCCAGCGCCCACCGGGGTTGGGATCCCTTTGAGGAATGGCAGTCGAGCCCCAGAGGAGGGTCTCGAAAGAGAAAGAGATGTTAAAAAATGGGTAACTGCAGATGTCTAGGATCTAAAATCCAGGTGGGCAGGAAGGTGTCTGTTTACGTGGCCAGAGTCACGTGGTCTGAGTTGGGCGACTGTATAAATGTTCTAAATAAGAAAATAAAACACAAATCCAGGGAGGGCGGTCCAGAGCTCTGCGGACAACCTGCCCTCCCGCCAGAGACCCGCTCGGAGCGTCTGGAGCAGCGTCGTCGCTTTTCGTCTTTGCCCGGGGGCTGCGGGACGGGTCTTGCGTGGCCAGGCCCTCCCAGCGCCGTGCAGCCCCCGAAGGGACCAGACGCCGATGGAAGGCCTCTTGCCGCCCAGCATCCGCGGGCCAGGCCTGCAGCGGCCCCGTCCGGGCTGGCTCTTTCACGGGCATCCGGGCCGCTTGGATCTGCGTTCGCGCAACTTTGTTCGCGTCTCGCCTTCCCGCCCTAACGAAGGAGCGCAAGGTGAGGGATCCGGGACTTCCTGGAGGGTGCGGAGAGGGACCGGCCCCACTCCAGCTTAGCTCCGCCGAGGGGGCGCCCCACGCAGAGCGGCACAACCCCCCCAAACCTCCGGGATCGAGAGCAGGGGAGGAAAGAGGGTGCCCTTCCGGCCAGCCGTCGCGTGGCCTGATCCCCGTGGAGACGTGGAGCCCTAAAAGTTGCGCCCGCTCTTTCTCCCCGTCTGCTGGCAGCACTTCCCCCCTTACAGGAGAAAAGCCGCTCGGCTGGAAAGAAGCCAGCTGGCCGCTTGGCACGCGGCCGCCGGGGCGTGTCTGGCCCCTCGCCAGAGCACGTCTCTTAGTCAGAAGGAGGGTGGCTTCCAGAGAAGTTATGGGGGGAATTAAGCAGAAGAGAAAAGCTGGAGGCTCTGCTTGTGCGAGCGTTGCCCAACAAGCGTTTCACATGCAGGGCGTCGATGGCCGGTTTGCTCAACGATCTCACTTCAACGACCCAGGGGAGCCCCGCTGCCCCTCCGCCCAGCCCCCCAAAACATGAGGACCCTGCCTGGGCCTGGCATCTTCCCCTTCCCCTTCCCCTTCTGGAGGAGGGCTAGGACGAGGGTCCCAAAACCCAGGCAGAGGGCGGGGAAGGCACACCTTGAGGAAACGCTCCCTTCCCCTGGCGCCACGGGTAGGGTTACCCCAGGACTCCCTTCCGAGGGGGCATTTCATTGGCTTGAGTCGGGGCGAGAAAAGGCAAACCGATCCCTTTGGGCTTGTCTTAACTTCTAATTGGGGCAAGTGCATCACGTTTGGTTCATTTTTTAAAAAGTTTGCACTAGAGTGTGTATATACGGGCCGGGGCATTCTGGGAGTTGAAGTCCACGCAGCTTGAAGTGGCCCAGGCTGAGCAACCCTGTCTTAGATGCACTTCCCTGCAGGCCGTTCAAATCCCAGGCAAACCTTTCAGTACAAAGGCCGCCGTACCTCTGACCTGGGACCTTCTGAGCAATGCTTTTGCAGAGGCCTGCGAAGGAGCCGCGGTGCAGCATTCCCACGCAGGCAGCCTGGGAAAGCGAAAGCCCCTCGGGGGGAAACAGAGACTCTGCAATTCGATCTGGAGCAGAGCCGACTGGTTGGGACAGAATCTCTCCAGTCTGTTGATTGGAGATTGCCACCTATCCTTGGAAGTTGATAAGCCCAAGATCCTTTCACAACAGAGAGCCCAGGGAGGGGCGGGGAGAACAATTTTGCAGCTGATAAGAAAGTGTGTTGCGGGTTCAAAACAACTGCATGCAAATTCAGGCCAGCCCCAGGCCTGCGCTCTTGACCCTCGGGTTTAGGAGGACCTTCAGCCATGGCGGGGGCCAGGCTGGCCCCAGAGGCGAAGCACTGCTGGGAAAGCATTTCTGGGGCCCCCGACTGGATCTGGCCAGATGTGCGGTCTGCAGGGTTGACCCTTGAGAGGCTGTGCGCAGGGCAAGAGGAGACCCGGTCCCCCGATGAGGCCGGGGCCAGACAGGAGCTCCCAGGCCTGTCTTGGGGCGCTTCATGGCAACAAGTGGGACCCACCTGGGCCCGCTCTGAGCCAGACAAAAGTTGCCAAGAGTTCCCAGCACAAATCTCACCTGAACAAGGGGAAAATAAATGTATTTTTATCTATTTATTTACTTTGTTTGTATGCGGTCTTCTGTCAGAGCATACCACGTGCATGGAAAGTTTCACCCGCTCAACCTGGTGTGAAACCTCAGTTCAAAACCATAAAAACCCTGCTAGAAGAAGAGGTGGGCAACTGAAGCCAGGAATCGTGGAACCCTTCCTCCTTTCCTGGGAGAACCTCTCAAACGCAGGCAGTCACCATTCAAGTCCCTGCCGAGCACCGGGGGCAACCCAGCAAAAAGGAAACCCCACAGCCGAGACCCACTTCTTCCAGCCTGGCCAGAGGCAGCAGAGGGTCGGCAGACGAGGGCAGGGCCAGGGCGCACCCAGATCCTTTAGATCCCAGGCACTGAATTCCCAGCATGGCTTTGCCTCTTGGAGCCCGTTGCCCAGGACTTTGATCTTTAGTTATTCATCTCCTTTCCTGGGAATAGGGAAGAAGATAAAGTTTGGTTTGCATTGTCCTCAACCAGCCCAGTTTCTCCCACAAATCATGGGATCTGCCAATCTGCTGCCAGAGCAAAACCTCAGCAAGCAGATGCCACAGTGAGTGTGCTCTGCACAGAGAGGCCCTGAGAACTTCCTAGTCAGCTGTTCCCCCGCCCCCCCCCCGCCCTGCAAATGCCTTTTGTAGGGCCTTTTCCAAGCCGTCCCGAGGAGGAGCATCTCCTGAGCAGGCCTGCCAAGAACGGGACCACCAGTGGCCTAGAGACCCCCACTCCAGAGGGAGACCCAGCCTGCGAGAGAGTCTGGGCAGCGTCAGTGGGGAACCTCTGGGTGCGCAGCTCCGTCTCCTCCTCCCCGGCTCAGGAAAGCCTTGCAAGGGTCTTGCCAGCAGCCCTCTACGGGCCACCGCCAAACCCAGGCATGCCCACGACCAAGGGAGATTCTCACGGGGTGTCCTAGGTTGCTGGTGCCTCGGGCTGTTCCCCTTGAACGATGACTCTTTCAGCCCGCTCGCTTTCTCTCCGTACTTGTAAAAAGCCACCCGGACGATTTCTGGCAAGCGAATGGCGAGCCAGAGCCGCCCAATTGGGCGTCCACTGACTTTGGAGCTTGGGCACCGCCGCAACTCTCCTTGGGCTCGGCCCCTTCCCCTCCCTCCCCTCCCCTCCGTTCTTGCTCAGCCAGCGGAGAGACTGCGGCCGCAGGGTCCTCCGCAGGGCCAGCCTGCAATAGCGACAGGCGGCCGCGCTCGGCAAGACGGAGGCGCTGCCCTGAAGAGACCAACCGCCCGCATTGCCTGCCCGCAGCCCCGCAGCCCCGTGTTGCCGCAGAAAGCCCGCCTTTCCTTCAGAGAAACTGGGTTTCCTAAGAAACCGCAATGCATTCCAGCCCAATTCAAAATGCTGTCCTGGCCTTCAGCTGCTCACTCCTAATAGGAGGTCATTTGTTCACACAGTGGTTCTGGGCAGGCACACACCCACCCCTTCAGAGCTCACCGGGTTCTCCAGAGGGTTTCCAAAAGGCTTGTGTTTACAGTAGGTGAGCAGGCAGGCTGGGCTGGGCTGGGCTGGGCTGGGCTGGGCTGGGC